AAACACAACTTCTACCGGAAATGGCTTGGGCTCGAGTCGAACGAGCTCCTTCTGATGTATGCGTCGAACTAATCACGAGATAGCATGCAGACACGCCCCGGGCGCTACCAAGCCTTCACATCCTCTGAATTACCCTTAGGATTATCTGAATGAATTCAACGGGAATTTGTTCGCAGAGGGAAAGAAAAATTGCTTGCAGACGTATGGCTTGGGCCCGGGTCGAGCGAGCTCCTTCTGCAGGACTCCATAGAAACCGGAGAACAGAAAGCAGACGCGCTCCGAGCGCTACCAACCTTAAACCCTCCTCCTAGTCCTGTATATCTATGCAGTCGGAGCGAATTTTGTGCGCGAGAAAAAAGATGTTGAACAGGGCCGAATGGCTTGGGCTCGAGTCGAACGAGCTTCTTCCGCTACTGATTGACTCACCATCAGCTATAGAATGCGGACGCGCCCCGGGCGCTACTAACCCTCGATATCCCTCTCATTGTCCTGGATATATGTCAACTAATTCACCAGAGAGAAAAAAACAAGATTTTCCGGACGAATGGCCTGGGCTCGAGTCGAACGAACTTCTTCTGCTTGCCAACAATTACCAACCTATTGGATGCAGATGCGCTCCGAGCGCTACCAAGCCTTAAAATCCTACTGCTACTCCCAGGTATGTCAGGGAGTTCAGCGGGAATATTTAAACGACCTGATAGGGAAAAAGAAGAAGAGACCACTTTATGGCCTGGGCTCGAGTCGAACGAGCTCTTTCTGCAGCAGACAAAGCTCTGAACTACTTAACACAATGCAGACGCGCCCCGGGCGCTACCAAGCCTTCGAAACCCTCCCCCTTCTCCCTGTATATGTTTATGGGTCCAGCGGGAACTCGTGCGCAGCGGGAAAAAATAATGGGACCTCCCAACTATGGCTTGGGCTCGAGTCGAACGAGCGATATCTGCTGTAATTCCTCCTCACTCATCATAGAGAACGCAGATACGCCCCGGGCGCTACCAAGCCTTGAAATCCCTCTACTGGACCCAGGTTTATATTCTAATAATTTCAGCAAAACACTTGGGAGGAGAGAGAAAAAGATGACGAAACGAAGTATGGCTTGGGCTCGAGTCGAACGAGCTTCCTCTGCTGCTGCTTTTTGCACGGCACAAGGAGTGCGGATACGCCCCGGGCGCTACCAAGCCTTGCACTCCCTCTGTTGTTCTCTGGTTATCTGTGAATGAACTCATCGCGAATTGGAGAGGAGAGAAAAAAACGCTGTGATGACAGACAGATGGTTTGGGCTCGAGTCGAACGAGCACCTTCTGCTTTCGACTCGTGATCACCCAACAGAATGCAGATGCGCCCCGGGCACCACCAAGCCTTGACACCACCAAGCCTTGAAATCCTTTCATCGTCCCTGGATACATGGACGAGTTCAGCGGGAATTCGTGCGCAGAGGGAAAAATAATTTGCTAGCAGACGTATGGCTTGGGCTCGAGTCGAACGAGCTCCTCCTGCAATGCAACCGTACCGACTCTTTATTAAATGCAGATGCGCTCCAAGCGCCACCAAGCCTCGGAACCGTGTGTTCGCTCCGAATAATGTCAGTCGGGTCAGCGCGGCTGGCGTCGGATGCGTGTGGAACCTTCAACAAGCGAGGTACTTCCTCTGTTGAAGCATCTGCCTACGAGAGACTATGGAGAACCACCATCTGCATCCTATCAAGCTTAAGGTTTGATGAACCGCAGATGGGCTCTGGCCCTGGGTGCGGTGTCCGGTGGGTGGAAGTCGCCGCTGTATGCGACCATCCAGACTCTAATCAGGCAGATTCGAGCAAGCGAGGGCCAGGCAGAACGTTGACGGGCTCGAACGGGAACTCCCGGAAAGCCGGCGATGAGCACATGGTGGAGTATTCAATTGCTGCTTTCTGCCAGCGCGTCCGTGATGCCAATGGCGGTGGCGGGGCTAGTGCGGCGCCGCGCCCTGAATTTCCTGCAAACTAAGCAAGTAGCTTGACTTTTTGCCAGACGACCCTTGCTCCACGTCCAGCAAGGAAATAATAGCGCGAAAAGGACGCGCGAGGTGGGACATCGCTTGACATCGAAGTCGCCTTTGCAGAGCCGAGGCGGTCACGAGCGTGACGTGACGCAGGGCCATCGTCCCATTCCGGGTCTCTTCCTCCTCTCACGACGACAACAACCACAGCGACGAAGACGACCACCGCACGCGCCTCCACCTCCAGCGTCACCATCCCCATGTCTTCCAACACCTCGCACACCACCCTAGCGACACCCACCACACCAACGACGAGCGTGCCGACGACAACGCGCGTGCGCTTCGACGCTGAGTGTGTGCTGATACCGGACGTGCCGTTCGCGAAGCGCCCGCGGATGCTCACGAAGAGCTACTCGCTGCCCCTGTGGCGGAAAGCGCGCGAGGAGGACGAGCACGCCGTGCTCAAGGTCGCGCTGCCGAGGTGCGTCCATTCTCTTCTTCCTGTCCTCCTCCTCCTCCCCCCATTGCGTTCCCGTCCCCGTCTGTTCTTGCATTCCATTCCGTTTTGGTCTGATTCCAATCGCTCCATTTCTTCACGCTTTACTTTCTTGCTTTCTTGCTTTCTACTTTCTTTCCTCCCTGCTCTCGCCCCCACCCCCCGATCGCGTGCCCCCGCGCCCACCGCTGGCCGCGCTTCCCCGTATCGTGACCACACGACGTCAACGGTGGCGCCATGGATATCACAATACCCATGGCACAATCTGCCAGCGCATCCGATATCGCAATCACATCGCTTTGCGGGGCGCGCCGTGACTCTCCGTTCTCTGTGTACTCCGGTCGACACGGCGTTCTTCGGCATCGCTCATTGTAGGAGACGAGGCGGCAGCGGTGGCGTGGCGACGAGGGCGGTCCATTCAAATTTCGGTATTCGGTATTCAGTGTTCGATGTTCGGCCGCGTCCCTGAACGTCGCGTTGCCTTGATTCTGATTATCCGCACGTGCACGCGCGCGCTGGTTTACAATATGTGCAGAGAGAAAAAAAGCAGTTACCCCCAAAGCATGGCTCACGCCCGAGCACTACCAAGCCATAAAACCCTCCTACTGGCTCTGGAGAAGTGAACGAATTCAGCAGTAACTTGTGCAGAGTAAAAGATACTTGATCGCAGATGTATAGCTTGGGCTTGAGTCGAATGAACTCCATCCGTTGCTACTCTGTCTCACCAAATATTGAGTGCAAACGCGCCCGGGGCGCTACCAAGCCTTGAAGTCCCTTCATTAGCCCCTGGGTTTATCCGAGTTCAGTGTGAATTTGTGGGAGAGAGGGTTAAAAAGCAAGTCGTTTCCGTCCCATGGATTGGACCCGAGTCGAACGAGCGATATTCCGCAATACATCCTCGTGTCACTACAGAATGACGCGCATAGGTGTATTGGTCCTGTATATTTGTATGAATTCAGCGTGAATTTGGGCGAGGGAAAAATAGGGATCCGTGATGCAAACGAATGGCTTGGGCTCGAGTCGAACGAGCTCCTTCTGCAGGACGTCATGGAAACTACAGAACAGAAAGAAGACGCGCACCGAGCGCTACCAAGCCTCGTAGCCTTACGTTGGATCTAAATACATGTATGAGTCCAGTAGGTACTTAGAAAAAAAGGACAACGGGAACCGACGTATGGCCTGGGCCCGAGTCGAACGAGCTCCTACTCTGGATCAGAATTTCCTGTGATAGAATGGAGACGCGCCCCAAGCCTTTCAATCCCTCCCTTGGTCCCTGGTTATCTCGGAATGAATTCAGCGGGAACTTGTGTAGAGAGAAAAAGATGGACGAACACCGACGGATGACTTAAGTGGGAACTCGGGACGAGGCAAAAAAAAAAAAAAAAAAAAAAGATGAACGAACAAAGAAGCTATGGCCTGGGCTCGAGTCGAACGAGTTCCTTCTGCGGTAGCCTGTGTCGTCCGCTTAATAGAATGCAGATGCGCCCCGGGCGCTACCAAGCCTTCACATCCTTTCAAGCCCCCTAGGTTTCTCTGACTGAATTCGGCCTAATTTGTGCGCAGAAAGAAAAAGGAGCTATCAGGCTGATGAATGGCTTGGGCTCGAGTCGAACGAGCTCCTTCTGCGGTAGCCTGTGTCGTCCGCTTAATAGAATGCAGATGCGCCCCGGGCGCTACCAAGCCTTCACATCCTTTCAAGCCCCCTAGGTTTCTCTGACTGAATTCGGCCTAATTTGTGCGCAGAAAGAAAAAGGAGCTATCAGGCTGATGAATGGCTTGGGCTCGAGTCGAACGAGCTTCTTCCGCTGCTGATTTTTTCATGGCCCCAAATTATAGAATGCAGATACATCATACGCCCCGGGCGCTACCAAGCCTTGAAAACCTCCTGCTGAATCCTGAATATGTGTATGAATTCAACGGGAGTTGCTGACATGAAAAAGGGAAAAACGACGCTCAAGCCATATGGCTTGGGCTCGATTCGAACGAGCACCTTCTGCAAGACGTCATGGAAACCGGAGAACAGAAAGCAGACGCGCTCCGAGCGCTACCAAGCCTTCGAAACCCTCTACTGAACCCATGTTTATATTCCAATAATTTCAACAAAACACTTGGGAGGAGAGAGAAAAAAATGACGAGACTGACATCTCATGGCTTGGGCCCGAGTCGAACGAGCTCCTTCTGCTATGCATGCATTGCAAGTGCGGCGTTGTTAGAGAATGCAGATGCGCTCCGAGCGCTACCAAGCTGTGTATTAGGTGGATCTGCGCCTGGGTTTATCTGAGTTCAGCGAGAACTTGTGCGCAGGGGGAAAAAAAGGCGGCGACCTTGTATGGCTTGGGCTCGAGTCGAACGAGCTCTTTCTACTTTGAATCCAATTTGCCTCGCATGGAATGCAGATGCGCCCCGGGCGCTACCAGGCCTTCACGTCCTCTGAATCGTCCCTAATTTTATCTGAATTCATATGAATTCAGCGAGGGTTTGGGAAGAGAAGCTGAGTTAGGAAACGAAAAAGAGACACACATTTCTCCTATGGCCTGGGCTCGAGTCGAACGAGCTTCTTCCGCTACTACGTTTGTGCAAACTCTGAGAATAGGATGCAGACGCGCCCCGGGCGCTACCAAGCCTTCACATCCTTTGAATTACTCCTAGGTTTATTTGAGCAATTTCAGCGCGATTTTTCGCGCGAGAGAAAAAAGAAAGTCAATCACGATTTATGGCTCGGGCTCGAGTCGAACAAGCAATATCTATTGGACATCCTCTTATTGGTCCATTAAATGCAGATGCGCTCCAAGCGCTCCCAAGCTTAAATCCTCCTCCTAGTCCTGTATACCTATGCAGTCAGAGCGAATTTTGTGCGAGGAGGGAAAAAAATATCGTGGACAACACAGATAAATGGCTTGGGCTCGAGTCGAACGAGCTTCTTCCGCTACTGATTGACTCACCATCAGCTATAGAATGCGGACGCGCCCCGGGCGCTACCAACCCTCGATATCCCTCTCATTGTCCTGGATATATGTCAACTAATTCACGGGAGAGAAAAAAACAAGATCTTCCGGACGAATGGCTTGGGCCCGGGTCGAGCGAGCTCCTTCTGCTTGCCAACAATTACCAACCTATTGGATGCAGATGCGCCCCGGGCGCTACCAAGCCTCGAAATCCTACTGCTACTCCCAGGTATGTCAGGGAGTTCAGCGGGAATATTTAAACGACCTGATAGGGAAAAAGAAGAAACCACTTTATGGCCTGGGCTCGAATGGAACGAGCTCTTTCTGCAGCAGACAAAGCTCTGAACTACTTGACACAATGCAGACGCGCCCCGGGCGCTACCAAGCCTTAAATTCCCTCTCCCTGTCCCTTGATATCTTACCGAGTCCGGTGGGACCTTTCGCGGACAGAGAAAAAGATCGACGAGTCAGGAATATGGCTTGGGCTCGAGTCGAACGAGCGATATCTGTTGTAATTCCTCCTCATTTATAATAGAGAACGCAGATGCGCACCGAGCGCTACCAAGCCTTGAATCTCTCCTCTTGGTCCCTGACTACGTGAGTGATCAACGTGAATTTGGGGATAGAGGGAAAAAGAAATTCCCAAAGCTACGGCTTGGGCTCGAGTCGAACGAGCTCCTTCTGCTGTCGCCAAAAGGCCACTTCTATCGAATGCAGACACGCACCGAGCGCTCCATTTGGGCCTGGACATGTGAATGACTTGAGCACACATTTTTAGGGAGAGAGAAAAACCTGTTGCACACTATGAGGGTAACTGGAAATAGAACGCAGATGCGCACCGCGCGCTACCAAGCCAGGGAAAGCTTTTCCTCGAGCCTGATAATATCAATTCAGCGGGAATTTGTGCGCATGCAGTGCGAGAGAGAGAAAAAGGTAACAATCCACCGAATGGCTTGGGCTCGGGTCGAACGAGCTCCCTCCTCTGCTAATGTTCTCACAGATAATAGGATGTAGACGCGCTCCAAGCGCTACCAAGCCTCGGAACCGTGTGTTGGATCTGGATAATGTCAGTGAGGTCAGCGCGGCTGGCGTCGGATGCGTGTGGAACCTGAGGTACGATTCCTCTGTTGAAGCATCTGTCTGCGAGAGACTACGGAAAACCGCCATCTGCCTATCAAGCTTAAGGTTTGATGAACCGCAGATGCGCTCTGGTCCTGGGTGCGGTGTCCGGTGGGTGGAAGTCACCGCTGTACGTATCTCTCCATCCAAGTCTAATCCGGCAGATTCGAGCAAGCGAGGTGACAGAAGGCAACGGGCTCGAACGGGGAACTTCCGGAAAGCCGATGATGAGCACATGGTTGAGCATTACTGCATTCTGCCAGCGTGTTCCTATACGTGATGCCAATGGCGGTGGCGGGGCTAGTGCGGAGCCACGCCCTGAATTATCTTACAAGTCAGTACTAGTCAGTAGCTTGACTGCCGCTATTAGACGACCCTTTTTTTTCACGTCGAGCAAGGAAATAATAGCGCGAAAAGGACGCGCGCGGGCACAGTGGGACAGCGGTTGAGTGACATCGAAGTCGCCTGGAAGAGCCGAGTGACCGTGACGTGACGCAGGGCCATCGTCCCATTCCGCCTGCTTTCGGGTCTCCTCTGCCTCTTCCTCTTCCCTCTTCCGTGCCAGGCGTCTGCGACGATGTCCGCGACGACGACGACGACGACGACCACAGCGACGAAGACGACCACCGCGCGCGCCTCCACCTCCAGCGTCACCATCCCCATGTCTTCTTCCAACACCTCGCACACCACCCTAGCGACACCCACAACGCCTACGACGAGCGCACCGACAACGCGCGTGCGCTTTGATGCCGAGTGTGTCCTGATACCGGACGTGCCGTTCGCGAAGCGCCCAAGAATGCTGACGAAGAGCTATTCGCTGCCCCTGTGGCGGAAGGCCCCGCGCACGCACGAGGAGGACGAGCGCGCGGTGCTCAAGGTCGCGCTGCCTAGGTGCGTTGGTTCTCTTGTTCTTGTCCTCCTCCTCCCCCCGTCTCTTCTTGGATTGCATTCCATTCCATTCCGTTGCGCTGTGATTCCAATGCGTTCACCTCGCTCCATTTCTTTTCTGCTCTACTTTCTTCCTCTCTCTTCTCTTTCTCCCTCCCCTTGGACCCCGCCCCTCGCGTGCTCCCCCAGCGCTGGCCGGGCTTCACCGCATCATGACCACGACGTCAACGGAAGTGGTGCCATGGATATCATGCGATTCTCAACGCATCCGCATGGAGATATCACACCGCTTTGCGGGGCGCTCGTGGCTTGATCTCTGTGGACGGCGTTCTACGCTATTCGCTCCCTCGTCATGGGCGGCGGCGGCGCGTTGGCGAGGGGCGCTTGCGCCATTCAAATTTCGCTTCCTCCCCCTGAGTGTCTGTCGCCCGCGCGCGTTATCGTTGCCTTGATTCTGATTTCGATTTGCCGCGCGTGCACGCGCGCACGCTGTATTTTTCCGCCCCTATGCACGCCTGCTCCTAGGCGCGAGGGGTAGAAGGGCATTTGCCGCGGCCATGCTGCTCCTGTACTGTACATGCAGCTGCAGGGCGACGATTCGGCGGCAGTGTGTTGTGGAGTGTCGTTGCGCACCGCACGCGACTACTGCCTGCGGGGGGCGCTTGCGCCAGTTTACCTTGCCTTGCCTTGCCTTATGCATACCTCCGAGTCGCAACGAGTCGGAGTCTGCCTCTTTCTCGCATTTTTCATCTTCCCTCCCTCGCTATTTCTCATTTCATTATTTTTTTTCCCCCCCGGGGTGCACGCCTTCCTTTCGTACTTCGCTCCTTGTTCTTCCTCTTTTTTCTTCTTTTTTTTCGTACTTGTTCTCCGCATCGATCTTGCCCTCGTTCCCTCCTTCCCTCTCCCCCGATTCCCTTTACTCCCCCACGATGCCGACCCTGAGCCCGAATCCGATTCGGACTCCCCCTGCGTTCACTCCGTCCACTCACGATAGTGGTGCTGCTGACGGCCTCGGCCTCAGCCTTCGTGTCGTGCGCGCCTGGGAGAGTGCCCTGCGAGGCACGCGCCGCACTCGAGTCCCGAATTTATGCGCTCTGCATTTATGCACGCCGGACGGATTAGAGGGGGGAGGCGGAGGCGTGCAGCAAATGTTCAATCTGCGACGACCCCGGACTCCTTCTCTTTCTTTTCTTTTCGTCCCTCTTTTTATCCCTCTTTTTTTGTCCCTCTTTTCCTCATTTTCGTGTGGAGGTGCGTGCGCATGTGCATGTGCGTGTGGGTGGGGGCCGCTCGGCGATCTATGCGGGACGGTCCACGTCCAAGGCAGCTGCACGCCCGAGGATGGCGCGGACTTTCCTCGCCTCTGATGGTGTGTGTGCGCTGTCCGCCCCGAGGGCTTACGGTGGGCGTCCGATTGCGCGCCCGGGAGAGTGGGTTTATGCGGACGCGCAGTCCCCAATTTATGTGCGACGCGCAGATCCCAATTTATGGGGTGACGCGCAGACTTGTGCGCGACGGGCGCTGGAAGGTTTCCTTGCCCCCTCCTTCTTTTTCTGTCTCTCCGTGCGGGTCGTCTGTGTAAGGGCTGCACGGAGATACCCGTCCGTCGTCCGTCTTCCGTGCTCTCTTTCCTCTTCCCCGTCCCCTTTCGCTCTGCCTTGCTTTGCTTTTCCCTTTCCCCCTTCTTCTCTTCCCGCCCAGATGTACCGTACCGTCTTGGCCTCTTCCCCCTTCCCCCTTCCCCCGCTTTGCTCCCCCGACTCGACTGGTGGCGGTCGGGCTTTCCCTTTCCTCAGTGCCTGCTGCTCTACGCGGGGACGCTGGGAGAAGGGCCACGGGCTTTGAGGGCGACGGGCGCGCTCGGGTTTCGTGGTACCGCAGTGCTGCCTGTCCCCCCCCTCCCCCCATGATCGTCTCATTGTGACGCTGGGGGGCTGTTTTCTGCTTTCCCTGCATCCATTCGTCTTTTCTGCCTTCCTCCTCTCCTCCTACCCGCCCGCCTCTCACCCCTTCCCTCCTATTGCCCACCCTCTTTGCCCTCCTATTCCCATTTTTCAGCGACTAATTTTTCGTTTTGTTTCAGCTTCAAATCCAAAACCCGCGCCACCTCGCGCTCGCCGCCGCCCGTCGCGCACTCGATCCCGTCCTGTCTGCGCGCCGCCTCGTCTCCCTCGTCTCCACCCGCGCCTGGGTCTTCCACCTCCCCCTCCATCTCTGGACGCGCTTCCACTTCGGCAGCCTCACCCTCGTCGGCGCCCGGTCCTCGAGTTCCCCTCTTCCCCCACCCCGGGCGTCGAACCTCGGCCCCCGCCCCCCTCCTCGCCACCATCTCCGCCGTCTACACCTCCCGCCCCCTCACCACCGTCATCTCATCCTCCTCCGGCGCAGGGCCGGCGCAGAAGCGCACCGTCCCGCTGCGCGCGTGCTGCCCCGAGTGCGCGGTGCGCGTGGGGGTCGCGGAGGAGTGCTTCAGCCGTGGGGCGCAGCGCGTGAGGCGCCGAGCCGCTATGTGTGGCATGGGCCTGAGCGCCGGCCCGGGGACGCTGTTCCTCGCGCGCAGGCGGGGGGGTTCTCGGCCCTGCTATTGGGGAAGGCGAGGGAGGGGCGCTGATGAGCGGGACGGGCCTGGCGGAGGTGAACCGGCTCGTCGCGGAGCTCGAGCGGAGACG